TCTAGCCAGAAACTTATGAGTCATTTGTAACACCTCCTTTCCTACCTCCCACAGCCAATATATCACCAAGTGTACTGACACGTTTCCAAAAACTACTTTCAAATACATCTACTTTTCTTCATCCCCACTGCTACAACAGTCCAAGCCACTGTTCTTTCCCTTCACTGCTGATTATTTTCTGACCCTCACTCCCACTTCTGCCTTCTCCAAGTTATTCTCCACACAATAGCCTGTTTGTGGATTTTTTAAAAGCACAAATCAGATCTTCCAAACACCCCTCCATGGGTAATACTGATTGTACATTAATTCAAATGTTTAACGTGATGCATACACTAAGGTTGCTGCTTGGCTTGTTACTTCCTCAGAGAGCCCTTCCCTGGCCTCCAATGTAAATTAGGTTCCTCCCTTTTGTTCTTGCATAGCCCCTTGCCTTTTCTATGTGGAACACTGATGGCTTGATTCTCCAAGTCCATCCTCCCTTTTTCTTTTTTTGCAGTAACAGAACTTAGCTGCGTGTACAACTTCAGTTACACTACATTATACAACCATTCAGTTAAAGATGCTCGTTCTGTTAAAGACTTCCTTACATCCAGAAGTGGAAGTCTGATTGTTTTGGCCAATGGCTATGAGTATATGTGACGTTTGCAGATGTTAGAGCTTCCCGGTAAATACTTGGATGTATAACTCTGCCATCTCGTGTCCTGGGAATGGTGTGACCTGAAGTTGTCACCCTGATGACATCTTCCGTGGCTATGGAATCCACCTGTTGTGAGGTTGTGGGACCACACAGTTGGACTGGAGTGCTTACCTGTGAACCGTTACATGAGGGGAAAAGAAAGTTTCTTATCTTATGTTACTACTTTGGATCTTTTTGTTACACTAAAGGAGGTCTTGGATGGGCTTTATGTAAAGGTGTGAAGTCTGCTGGTGGCACACAGGAGGCAAAATGCAGTGTGAATGGTGCCTGGAGGTGTGGTGCACCCTTGTGGTATGCAAGGAAATTACATGGTTAGATGTTAAAGACAACTTTGGTTTCAACATGGAGAATTAACTGGATAAATTCCCTGGAGAAATGACTTTGTAAGACAGAGGAGAGAGTACTTCATCGATTAACACAGCATATGGATAGAGAGGAGGCAGTCGATAGGTATTTTGAAAGATGGACTCCAGAGGCCTGCCTTTAAATGAAGGTGGTAGAAAAAAGCATTGCCTTCTGGAGATATCCATATCCTAATCCCTCCAATGTATGTTATTTTACATGATGAAGAGGATTTTTCAGATGTGATTAATGCTCTTGAAAGGAAGAGATTATCCTGGATTACCCAGGATAAACCCACTGTAATCATAGGTCCTTAGAAGAAGATGGCAGGAGAATCAGAGTCAAAAAAGACAATTTGATGACTGAAGTAAAAATTAGAGTGATGTGCTACAAAGAGGGAGGAAAGAGCCATGAGCCAAGGGATGTGAGTGGCCTCGAGTAGCTAGAAACATCAAGGAAACCGATACTATAAAACTTAAAGATCTAGTCAGCCCTGGGTACACATTGATTGCAGCTTAATACAACCCATTTTGGACTTCTGGCCTAGACTTATTAGAATACATACATTTGTGTTTTTTAACCCACTAGACTGTGGTAACATGTCGTAGCAGTAATAGGAAACTGTTATATTGAAGTTATATATATATATATAGTATATGTAAGAAGTGAGACCTTATACAACTGGATGGATGATGGTTTGGGAACTCAGGACAGTGGGTGGGGTGGGTAGAAGAGGATGAAGCATTGATACAGGACTTAGTGAGGTTGCAGTGCTTGAGAAATAACCTATGGGGCAACTGACTATATGGCCATTAAGGAGAGAAACTGCCCTAGAGAGCGAGGAATTTGGGGGTATCGTAAATTATTTGTGGTTGAAGTCAAGGATATTGGTGACGACCCTCATGAGAAAAAAGGAGCTGGAAGGAAGGCAAGAACAAAACCCAAAGGGAGTACTCAGAAAGAAAGGAAAAACAACAAACAGAAGGTTTGCAGGTTACTGAAGACAGGATGAGTTTCAAGGAAGGGATGATCAATAGGGTGCAACATTGCTGACAGGTAGAGGGGCAGAGGATGGCATCACTTGCACAAAAATCCCATTCCTTCCTCCTTATGTGAATATATGTGCTTTTTAAGTATTCACATTTTAAAATAAAACAAAACAAAACAAAAAAACCCCAAAAGGATAGGTTATCAGCCAGGATCCTGAAGCCAGACTACCTGTGTGTGAGTGCAGAGTGTAACACTTACTAGCAATGCTACTTTGGTGAAGTTACTTTACTTTTATTTGACCAGTTTCTTATTTTGTAAAATGGGATAACAACAATATCCACCAGACATAACTGGGGTGATGACTGGCAGAAGAAACATGCGGAAAATATTTTGCCTAGTACCTGGTATAAGGTAAGTTCTAAGTGTCAGCTGTTATTGTTACCTGTTTTTATTATCCACTCTAATGTGTTTGCTCTGTTGTTTAGGGATAATCAATTCTGCCAAAGGAAATGAGAGAAACATTGTTTAAGGAAGATAAATGAAATTTAAGTAGGAGCAAGCAGTCTGAAAGGAGTGTATATAAGAGCTGAACCTTGAGAGAAAAGGTTGGAAGATGCAAACAGGCACCAAATATTTTTGATACAACAAATATCCATGAAGACAGGAGGCATTTGCTATCCAGGGGAGCTTAAAATGGCCACCCACTGATGACACCTACATAGCTCTTGTTGTTTCCTGCTTGAGAAGGGCAGATAAAATCCATGACTACCCAGCAGGCTAATTGGTGAGTTAAGAACTGTGAGGAAGCATACTTACTGCTGTGTCTCTCAATCAAGGAGGCAAGTGTTGGCTCTGCTTCCAAGCACCCTCTGTCTGCCAAACTCCCAGGTTCAGCTTCAGCTATGGTTCTTGTAACCACACCTTCAGCAGGGAACGCTGATGGTGGGTTGTGGAGAGAGGAGAGGAGGAAAACTGTTTTCTGCATAGTTCATAAAATGTACCACCTGCTTGGACCCTACTACTGTAAGTGTGTTCACTTTTATTTTCCCTGGCTTTTTACACTGGCCTTTAAATGGATTCAATCAGCCACAAGATTTCAACATCTTAATTTTCTCTTTGAGCCTTTCTGTGCAATGACCTCTGGGATAGCCTGTCTGGCAGTGTATTTGGGAGTTCATTTCCCACACCACACCCACTAGTTATCATAGGAGAAGTGGCTGATCACTTTTTCTTTATGACATTTACATCTTCTCCTTAGTTATAGTGACAGTTTATTTCTTTTATATTTAAAAAATTAAGAACTTAGGTATGATAATATTTAATATGGACATTGGTTGGAACAATGACATAATAGGCATGGCCAAAAAAGCCAAGGACATGAAAAAGTTTGAGGGCCTCCAGGGGGGAAAAATTCCTGTCTGAACAAGGCCAACTAATAACTTTGCCTGTGTACTTTCTCCTTAATTCAGCTATAAACCTAAAATTGCTTTTAAAATAAGTCTGTTAATTAAAAACATTTAAAAAGAATTAATACCCCTCCCCCAACACTTTCTGCTCTGCACCCTGAGGTTCAGCCTGTCCAATTTGAAACAGACACTAGCTTCCATCTCCTTGATGATCTGGCTTCCTTTTTCAGTAGCGGGCTGCCTTTGAGCAGTGTTGTCCAACAGCAACTCTTTTCCTTTTAGGTTCTCCATGTTCTTTTTTCTCCCCCTTCCATATGTGGCAGACTGGAAGTCTGTTCACTTTCTTCCTTTTCATTTTAAAAATGAAAATGTACTGGACACATAAGATGAATTCTACTATGACAGTTGCCAGCTCTGTACTTCATGGGCCACTCAGTTTCAAATAATGCAGGAGGAAGATTTCTTGAAGACACACCAGACCAAAATATCATTTTCTGAGCCCAGCAACCACCTATCTCTTTCACTGGAAACTCTACCACTCACTGCCTTTATTGTTTTGCTTTCATGCATCAATACTGCAAGTGGATTTGTCATAAAGCTAATGTAGTTTAACCCTCCAGGGACCCATTCAAGGCTTTGGGAGGGCCCCAGCAACTCTGTATTTGTGATTTTGTTATAGTCTTCCAAAACAGGGATCCCAAATCCTAAAACTTCAGGGCCGATAAAATTTTCATCAGTATGATTTCATGAGGAGGAGGTTAAAATCTGAAAATCAAAGACTGGGTTTTTTTTTTTTTTATGTAGGAGTTTTGGAGAGTTCATATATTCAATAGGACTACCTATGCCTGTAGAATAATGGTAAAAACTTAAATAGTACTTCATATCTAATAAGTGTTAGCTGTCGATGCCAGAGCAAGACCATAAGCTTCCTGAGAACAGTATATGACATCTCCTAGAATCCATCACAGGCACACAAAAAAAACGCTTGCAAGGGCTGATTCCTTTACACCAACTCCCCTTTCCACACCCTCTGTGGGTGTCTAACCAGAAATACAACTTTAATTACATTCTTAGTGTGACACGCAAGGTTACCTCTTCAGTCAGGCTCCAAGTCACTCAGCAGCACCTTCCTAAATGGAATGTGCTTTGCGTGTAACCCCCTCCCTGTGGGTCCTGAAACCTGGGGTGTTTGCCTTCTGCTCCCCTCTACGTTCCTTTCTCCTCGGTCAGCCGAGGACAGTCGCTCAAACTGGGTCTGGAGACACCAAGCCATGTCGTTGTTAACCTTCGCATTGTCTGGCAGTCAACAAGCGCTCAATTAACTAAGGCTGATACCACCCACCAACATCACCACCCCAACGCCCGACCGGGCGGCCATCTGCTCCCCGCCCCCTCCCCAGGCCTGCATCGTTTGCTCGGGCCTTGGGGCGCCGCAGCTCAGAGCCGCGTGGGGTGGGGTGCAGCGGTGGATGGTGAGGGCTAGAACCTCGTCTGCTTTCGTTTTCTCCGCGCGCGACTCCCGCAGGGCCGGGGCCGAGGGTCCCGCAGGGCCGTCAGGGCGGGCGGGAGGCCGGGAGGAGCCGCCGCCGACGCATCCGCCGCCGCAGGAGGCGGAGCGCTGCACCTGGCGGCGAGACCGCGACGTTCGGCCCTGAAACGGGTCCAGCCGGGAGCGAGAGACGGAGGCCTGGGCCCCAGGGGGAGGAGAGGAGAAGGTCGCACTAGGGGGTGCGCTTGATCCGCCGCCGGATCAGCCCACCCGGCGGCACCCTCCGCCGAGCTCTCCGCGCAGCCCCGCCCGCCGCAGCCCCCAAGGAGAGTGCGACCGGCCGGAGATGGTGAGCGCCGCCCCGACAGCAGCCGCCCCGGCGCCCCGCGCCGCCGTCCTGCGCCCCGGGGAGATCGTTCCCTGCACCCCGCGCAGCTGAGCGCCTCTGCCGCCCGCAGCAGGTGAGTCCGGGTCGGCGCGCGGGGAGGGGCGCTCTCGGTCTGGTTCCGGCAGCCCCACCCTGGCCTCCCCTAGCGCTCGGGCCTCGGCGGGGATCCCTCTCCCCCTGGCGCGCACACCTGCTGCTGGGGACCGGGTTGCAGAGGAGCGGCCGAGAATAGAGCGTGTGTGTCTATGTGTGTCTGTCTGACTGCTCCCGGGCCGGGATCGCCTGGAGCTCCCTCCCTTCGGTTTCTGTGTGGGTTGTCATCTTTATGGGGTGCTCGCGCTGGGGGCGATTGCAGCCGGCGCCCCTGTACGCCCGGCACGGTCAACACTTCCGGAAACGTAACTGGAGTAAGGAAAACAAAAGCGCTGCCCAAGGGAGCCCTCGCCGGGCACCAGCGGCACTTGGGGTGTGTGTGTGTGGGGGGCAGCTGGTGAGGGTTGGACCCCAAAGTCCAGGCCCTGCTCTGCTCAGCCTCTCTCGTGCCTTTGCCATAAACATCTTCGGAAAAAGGTAGAAGCGATAACGTCCAGATAACACCAATGACAAGGACGCGTTCACTTGTGTGGTAGGAGGAGGATTTTGACAGTCTGCTTCCCCGGGTTATTAAATAGGGAACAATTCCTCTGTCCCTGCGTTAGCTTGGAGAAATTCCTCCCCCCCCCCCCCCAGCTGCCTACAAATTGGCCTAATATGTCTCTAGGGCCCTTTGGAGTTAGTAAAGGGGGTTTCTAGTCCTTTTGGGGTCGATTTATTTTCTACACTGCCCCTGCGAATTTAAGTGGGATGGTGAACAATTCATTAAAAATGCAGCTTTCCCCCTCATTTATCCCATACCCATGTGGACAGGAAGGTGGACGCGTTGCCCTTAAGGCCGCTGCACACGATGCATTTTGCTTCTCCCACACACATTCTGTTTAATAAACACTTTACAGAGCTACCGGAGCAGATACAACTTTGCCTATTAAACCTAAGAAAGAACCTTAATTAAAGAGTTGAGGTTCTAATCCCAGCTAGTGTCTTCATAGTTGTATGTCCTTGGGCATGTCAGTGTTTCCAGAGCATGAGTGTTCTCACATGTAAAAGGAGGTGTTGAAAAGTACAGTGACCAAATTCCTCCCTAATTGTTCTAGAAATTTAGGGTTATGTGGAAATCTAACCCCTTCCATATTGATGAATGCAAAGGATTGGTGGACATGAAGTTGATAAAAAACATGTGTTAAGAACAGCTGCATATTTGATAGATCCCTGGTGTCTGCAGAGTAACTCTTCCCCAAGACATGGTCACTAGCCAGCCTAAAGTGTATATACATTATTGTGAAGTAAAAGCAGAGGACAGACAGTCTCTTCCTTGGGACTTCTGCTTTAGACACCCCATGCTGTTCATCATTAGCAATCATAGAAGCTATTTTCAGTTATTTAGTGGTAGTCAGATGACTTGTGTTTATTACACAAGTTGCTAAAATTTAGGATTGTTTAGGAGGAAGCTCAGATATTGCTAATGAGCCCAGGGCAGGCTATTCTGGGGAAGTAGGAGGACAGTGGATCCTATTTCAATAATGCACTAAAACTACTAAGCATGTTTATTGCTGAGGCCCTTACTGTGTCTGTAGGAATAAGATAAAAGTAAAATGTATAGAAAAATTAAAACACAAGAATAAAACAGGTTTGCCGATACTTGGTGATCTGAGTTACTAGATCACCAAATATATCGTTTCTGGATTATTAACAGTGATAAGACACTTTTTGAAGTACTTACTAAGTTCACGCCACCATCTCAAAAACTTCATTTGTAAATCTCTGTAGAGTAAATCTTTCCCCTAGTTTGTGTATGATGAAAAGGAAGCTAAGAAGGTTTTAAGGAACTTACACAGACCACATAACCATAGTAAGAGGTGGAGTTAAATTTCACTCAAGCCTCTGGCTACAAAGCTTAAGAAAATTTCCAGTGTTTGTCCCTCCCTACTCGGCCCATAAAGTCTCACTATCTATGCAAGTGCCTCCCTACTCGGCCCATAAAATCTCACTATCTATGCAAGTGCCTTGCTTCATACCTTTGGAAAGTTTACTTTATTTCAACATACACACACAGATATAGCTATTACCATATCTATGTGGGATAATCCATATTTATAGTGAGTGTGTGTATGGTATGTGTGTGTGTGTGTGTATGTGCATATGTTTACCTATTTGTCCCCATTTTTAGGTTGGAGACCAGTGTAAAATCCAATATAATCTAAGATATATTATTATTTTTTTACTTCTTTGGATATTCAGTAATATTTAACAATCTTGATTTACCAATCTCTTTCTAGGGAAAGGGAGAAATGCACTACATATAAATGTCTCTGTTAGCTGCTCTTGTACATTTTCTTGGGAAAAATCAGGATGTAAAAGTTAAAAAAAGAAACTACAGAGGAGATGTATACATATGTGTTTTTAAAACTACATGTAACCATAAGTATACATCATTGTTCTCAAATTGTTGTCAGTGATTATTTGAAGGGAGTGGGGTGGGGTGAAGAGAAGAGGGTGCTTTTAATTTTTACCTTATAAAGTTATGTTGGGAATCTTACTTTTTTCTTACTCATGTGCTATATTATCTAAAATAAAAAGGCAAAAAGATTAGGATTGAGTCATATCACAAAAATCCAAAATAAGAAAAAAACAGAATGTGCCTAAACTGTAATGTTAAAGAAGTGAAAGGAGACCTGGGAAATTAATGAGAGAGGTGGGACTGCAAAGTATAGGGGCAAAGGATAAAAAGTCTTACTTAAATGACTGATTTTACCTTTTCTAACATTATAGTATTAACTAAAGTGCCTCCAGTTTTTCTCATTAATAAAAATGCTTTGGTGCACACCCAATCATTCTTCTAAGCTAGAGCAGTAAGAATTTCTTTCATGCTGGTCTTGATAGTGGTGGCTGCCGCTGAAAGCATGAGTGTTCTTCACATAGAAGGTAGGTGTAAGAACTGTTATGTCACTTCATGAAACTGGCATTCTGGAATGCTTCAGGTATAATTATTTTTAGTAACATAATATTGAGAGCAGCAAGTTATCATGTTAATCTAGTGTGGTGTGTGTGTGTGAGATATACATAGATGTATATACACATACAATACATAGTAATATATAGCACATAATGTACACCACACTTGATGGTATACAGAATATACAATCCCATAATCTACTCAGTTTTATGTAGTATTAACAAAACATATTGCTTAGAATCCCTGAAAATGAATAATTTCCCTGATCAGACTTTGAAATCCAGAGTTTCATACATTTAGACTTTCCAGAAGTAAGAAAACACATGCTTTTTTGTGTTTTATATCTGAAGGAAAGGCAAATAAAGTTTTTTTTTTCATTATAAATGATAGGTAATCCTGAGAAAAAGGCACGATAGCAAATTATTTTGCAGAGATTTTCTGACAGTTTTAAGTGTCAGCTAATGTTTCATTTAACGTGGTAATTATGTTTTGGGCAGAGGGAAATCTTAGTCCTTATATTTAAGAGTTGTTCAGCAGGTTCTCTTTAAGCTTACAAGTATAGAATCCTATCATAGTACACAGCCAACTTTTTGGTAAAACTTAGTCTCCTTCCAGTACACAACTTTGGATTCCTGGGAAAAGCAAACATAATACATCTGCTATGAATTCTGTGTGGGGGAATGAAAATACCTTAATGTTTCCATGAAGAACATTCCATATATATAATTACTCCATGGCTAATTATCCAACATTAGCTGTCTGCGACCATTTATTGTCTATACTGGTGTTTGGAGGTGAGAAGGGCCTGTGTCAGCCAGATTTCTGCCCTAAATCCTGAATGACACATCATACAGTACTTAGCTCTGTTGCTGAATTTTGATATCAGAAAACCAAACCCAAACAAATGAAATAAAAATATGAAGCACCTAAAATTTGAACCAATTATATACATACACACATTCATATCTCCTCTATGTATACACACATTCATATTTCCTCTGTGTAATATCTTCTCTGTGGACACACTCACATTCCTATCTGGATATCTATGGATATTGTAACTCTGGTGGCTACTTTGTAGCTCTAAGTCATCAGTAAGCAACAGACAGCCAGACCTCAGCCCGCACAACTTGCCCAGTGTGTGCACGGAAAGTAGCTTGGGGTCCAGTATAATGCAAGTATGACCAAGTCATGACTGTGGTGATGACTGTAGTGAAGGGCTGTGAATGTGAAAGCTCTGTGCTACCTATGACCTGGTGTTCCCGTTGCATTTTAGGAATGGGAGCAAGTGGGGCAAAGGTGGAAAGAAACCTAGGCTCTTGGAAGAATCATTTTCAGAGTTGTGAAAGAAGATGGAGTAAAGGAGGGTCAAGAAGCCCTTCCTGGCTTTTGTCCTAGGGCTTAATTGGAGAAGGGGAGACAGATTCAAGGAACTTTTTACACGTAGAAAGTGTGAAAGTCCAGCTATTTTGAAAGACTCTGAGATAATGTTTTGACCAGAGACCAAGAGTATCACTGGGGGTGAGTCGGCAGGGCAGGAGAAAGGGACATTGGGCAGCATGAGTCAGCAGTGGCCAGAGTCTGATGTGGCTTTGCAGAGTATAAAAGGAGAACTAGAAAGAGGAACTGGTGTTGCCTCAGCAAGCCTGATTTGTGGATTAATTGTGCCAAGAGAAAGTGAGTCAGGAGCTGGGGCTGGTAGGTAACTGTTCATGAGATCAGGCAGAGGAAACCTCTGCATCCCTGCTGAGGGCAGCCACCCCCCTAAGTCCCTTCAGTCCAGAGAAGAGACCAGTTGCAGGGCCCAGGACTCCCAGGGGAACTCTGAGCCTTGGAACAGAAGAGGAGTGGGCCTCAACACCTGTGGGGCATTCTCTCACAATGACTTTGGACACTTTAAGGGACAAGGGTCAGGTAGAACACACTTGGACCTAAGGTAAATGAGGCTACTCTCAAAGTGAAGCCTGAAGTCCCCACACGAAACACAGTAAACCATAGAAAATGGCATATACACTGTCTCTGAC